TTTTTGGTGTACTATTGGCATTGACGCCAAAAAAACATTATCTCATTTGAAATAGTGGAAACCATAACTTATCGCAAGTCAAGGCATTTTTTTTTGTCATTTGCGATTAAAATGTATGTCTATTTCTTAGTTTAAACTATAAAAAAAATAGTAAAGATATACAACTCATTTGTTACCGAAGTTTTACTTGACGGATCACGTCTGAACCTTTTCAACTTCGGCTTTCGCTTCTTCCCAATTACTTAGATTCTTATTTTTAATATAATATAGAATAAACCTTTAATTAAATGTTCATATTATATTTTTTTCTTTACATGATTTAGTATAGTAATAACAAACCTCTTTACACCACTTAACATGATTTTTAGCATAGGAGATCAACATGTTTCTCAAATCTACAACCTTTTGTCGCTGAAAGCGGTCAAGGTCATCTTGAATAGATACAGATATTTTCTTTAGGTCTTCAGTCGTAGTTTCCAAAGCTTCTTCTAACTAATATTGAATAATTATTAAAATTAACATAAATAAGCATCAATATTGCGGAATGAATATTAACCTGAATGATTGATTCGCGAGTTTTGCCAATGCTATTTCTACGAGCAGCTTCCGGATCTACATCCATTATACCATGAATAGTATGACTTAATACGGAAAAGATCTTCGAACCGCTGAGTTTTTTATGGTGTCCACTACCAGTAGGTGATGAAACATCACCATTTTGGAATAGTTCTTCATAATGACCATTTTCGGAGTTATAATTATCTTCATTCGTTTGAAATATCGAGGCTGGATTAGCACGTTCATTACTCAAAACCTCTTCTATTCTTTTAGCTTCAATTTCAGATTTTTCTAATCCATCTAGTGAAACTTTTTGTCTTTCAAGTGTGTCAGCAATAAGTTCCATTTGCAAATGTTTCATGTGTCTATAATTTAAAACTTGTTTGATCACTGACGCGAATTGGGAATACTCTTGTAATGTTTCGGTGAATTCGGCTTCAAGTGCTGCAGTCTTGTAACCGAAATTAATGTTATTGAGAATTCAAATAAATTTAAGCATAAAAATACTAATTTACCAGTTTTCCCGTAGCCACATAAGTAGAATCCACAGCTTGCCCTACTTTTTCAATGGCATTCGCTAAGTCACCATTTTCATTTAAACTAAAACCGTTGTAAATGGCCCCTAATTCAGCATAATCATTGGAAAAATCTATTCATGTATGATATAAAAAATAATCAGGGTTGAATTTAAGATTGAATACAAAAATATAGAAATCTTGTAAATTCAGTTCAAAGAGATCATACAAAATTAATGGAAAAGATAAAACCGCACCACCCAAACGTTTCCAAATCCTTTTATTCGTCTTTTCCATATTTTGACTAATGTGATGTAAAAATTTTTTTGTAAAAGCTTCGGATTCAATAAACTTGGGATCAGGATTCTTCAATAGTTGTGATGCACTTGGAGTGAGGAGTGCTGGAGGGGCAGCCGAATTTACAGGGGAAACATTAGATGGTGATGAAAGATTTGCTGGTGATGCTTGAAGAATGTTTTTTGGGAGAGTAGAGAGTGGATATGAATGAAGCACTTCATTCTAGAAAGTTATAATAAATTATTAGGTATATTAAATTTTCGCAGATAGAATTATTATTGCGGATTATGACTCACCCAGGAAACATTTGTTTCCATAAACTTATGAAATATATGCTCTCCCGACAACTGTGGGTGTTTTGATACGCGGTTTAAGAAGCTTTGTAGCATTCTTTTGCGTTTCTCAATCATTGTGATATCCTCTTTGGCCTTGCCTTGCATGGTCGCATAATCAGCTATTCGAAGTCACATTATAAGTCAAAAATAAATTGACATAGGTTGATCTATGTTTAATGTAAACCGACAACATTAGGCAAGAAACGGAAAAAAAAAATATCTTGCCGCCTTTCCATCATATAGGAAAAGGATGGACTAGGTAGCTTGATAGATCACCGATTGAATGCTTTTCCGGAATTGGCGGAACGATTAAGGTGGGGTACAAACGCATTAATGATTTCCTCAATGATTCGAATTCCGAGTAACGTCTCCTAACTTCTTGATCCTATTCAGGAATTAAGAAAGTATACAATTATTAAAGGAGGCTAAATTCAATAATAAAATAATGAATTGATCACTTACCACAGCTTTTATAGTATATGTGATAAAAGTACTCCCATTATTATCAGTTGTCTTTTGTGCACTAGTAATTTGAATGGTAAAGTCGCCTTGGCGAATGTCCCTGTCAATTTGACAGCAAAATTGTGTTTTAATCTCCGGCTGATAGTTTAGGTTTATTGACATAAGCTGTTGTTCTTCCTCTTTTTCAAAACTATCATCAGAATCATCATTTATAGTATAAGGAAGAGTGTCTGAAAAATGAAGAGAATTTGAAAAAGGGTCGATATCCTCCAAGTCTGACATTGGTAGAGAGTATTGCTGGGAAATTTTTGGTGCAACGATTTATATGATCGTATAGATGTGACGTAGCATAATACTCATATGGGTATACTGCAGGTATCAATGTCATTCTTATTTCGTAACGGTAAATAATTACGTAATTAACAAAAACATACTGTACGTATGATTTTCTCTTTTGTTCTTTGGTAAGTGATTCCTGTTAACAATCAGGAAATAAAATTTATCATTATTAAAAAAAGATTGGGATTCAGGATTGTTAACTTCTAAAGTTTTTAATTGTTGCAGTTTGATTGTATTAAACCATACGTAGCGATAGATTATTTAATTTAACAAATACTGTTTCTGGATTAAAGATCTTGGGTATCGGTATTGTATTAATAATATTAAACATTTTTTGTTATGTACCCAAATACTTTCAGAATGATATAATAAAGCACGTGACAAATTCATGTATTAATAGTATTATGATGAAAGCCATAGATGACCAATAGGAAACCGTAGAATCTGTGAATGCAAATTCTATCCTGTCATACGATAAAACGAAAGAAAGACACCCACATTAACTCTGACATAAACAAATCTTTACTGACATCAAAAGTTGTAATCTATTTCCATCTTTAATTAGCTCATTGCCCCTTGACAAGTCTACCTTCGTGACAATTTCGTTCTTGCCGTCGTCTTTAAGCTGTTCAAAAAAAAAATAAAGTCTCGATAGATTTAAAGTATATGCTTTGAGAGTGATTCAGTAAACATATGTTGACTAGAAGACGTGAAGAAAATTCAGATCAAGTTGCCGGGCTTAGTTCCCCCAAACGGATTCGTGTGGGCGAATCAGATCATGAGGCCCAATTTTCCCCCGTCTATTTCTCACACCCTTCCCCTTCACATACATATCCGATTTCATCTATAACACCAGTTAGGTCGATCACGTCGCAATCCGGGGTTGTTAAAGAATCTAATGGGAGTCCTCATATAGAATCTGCCGACAATTCAGACGAAGATGTAACTGGAAAACAGCGCATTTTTGTTGAAGAAGACGATGACGAAGACGATGAAGATTGGAACGAGGGTGACCATGTCAATGACAGCAGTGATGAAACTTCTTCTATCGAAGATATTATTGACCATCTAAATCACGTCAACGACCAAATTGTGGAAGAAGAAGAAGAACAATTACTAGACGAGGAAGATCAAAGTACATTTTTTACCGTGTTTATGTCTGGATTTTTCTCATAATATAATGTTTTACACAAGTTATACTTGATTCTGAAAGATCTTCCATGTTTGGATGATGATGAATGCGAGCATTTAAAACAAGAAGCTAAAGAAAAAGGTATTATTTATTATTTACAACTTTTGCTTCTTCAACAGGCAAATTTATGCATTTCTAAATCTCATCGATTTATGTATTCATTTCATTTGCAAATTCAGGAACTCAGAAGTTCATTCAAGAATACTTTCTTGAAAAACATATTCCCCTTCGGAAGTTATTTTACGCATTCGATTATAAATTGGTTAGTTGTAAAATGCCAAATTTATATTAATCTTGATGCCTTATTTTTTTGTTCGCTTATTTATTTGATTTCATCGTTAATTTTACGATAGCCAAGAAGAATTAATGACCTCCCAGATATGCAATTACTTCCAGTTCTCCATAAGATTGTTGCAAAGTTCTTACGGCAACGGCAAAAACTGCCACATATTAATACATTGGAACAAGTTGTTGAATTATTAAGAAATTCAAAAAATATCATGGTCTTGACAGGTGCAGGGGTGGGTTGTGATTTTATATTTTTGCTTTTACTACTAACTAGACATAATAAACTTTATATGAAATTAATGTGCATAGAACTTATCAGGTTTCCGTGTCATGTGGAATACCGGACTTTCGTTCCGAGAATGGGATCTATTCTCGGCTGTCAGAATTTGACTTGGATGACCCACAGGATATGTTTGACATCAATTACTTCAGAGATTGTCCTGATGTTTTTTATTCGTTCGCCAAGGTATTATTTTTTTTTTTTTAGTAACTTGATTCATTATGTCCACGTTTGATTGCATTTTGGCAATATAACTTTTTTCTTTTATACTCAACAGGAAATATACCCCAGTAATTTCACGCCATCTCCTTCACACTATTTTATTAAATTATTGGAAGAAAAAGGAAAGCTTTTAAGAAATTACACCCAAAACATTGATACCCTGGAACAAGCTGCTGGAATTAAGAACGTCCTACAATGTCATGGTATTCGTATTTGAGATTACTCCTCCAATCTTATTAATTCAGTTTGAAATTTAATTATAAATGTCACATTATGTAGGATCTTTTGCAACCGCCAGTTGTATAGTATGTGAATACAAAGTCGATGGCAGTGAAATCAAAGATGATATACTTCATCAACGAGTACCTCGTTGCCCCAAATGTAAAAATAAAAAAGTGTATAAGGGAGAAGACGTGGAAGAATGCTTGTCTATTATGAAACCTGATATTGTCTTCTTTGGTGAGAAGTTGCCTCCTGAATTTGACCAATGCTTTCCCAAAGACCGCGAAAAAGTTGACTTGTTGATTGTAATGGGAAGTAGCTTGAAAGTGGCTCCGGTTAGTGAAATAATGGGTACGTTTATTAGCTACTTCTATTCAGTTACTTCTGTAATTTGGATAAATATCAATAATACATAATTTCATTAAGATCTTTAATTATTCGATTTAATATAATTTGTGTATGTTTTGTAAACGTTCTTTTGAATTTTTTTAAACAGGGCAAATTCCTCATCGTGTTCCTCAGATTGTGATCAACAAAACCCCCATAACACATATGCAGTTTGACGTCCAGCTCCTTGGTGATTGCGACGTCATCATACCTGAACTCTGCAGACTTTTAGAATGGGAGTTAGTTCATAAAAAGCTTAAACCCACTTCAAAACCTGTTCCTTATCGATTTGTGGAGCCTAACATTTATTTGTTTGAAGGGGCTGTAGTTAAAGGCGAATTTGGTGATATTGATGTGAAGTCAAATGTTGAAGGGTTAAATGATCAAAAAATATCGAATATTGATGATAGCAAAGAAATCGATCACACTGACCTTAAACAGACTTTAGAATTACCTTCATCGTCTACCCTGTCCCATATAGAATTATAAACTTTAATAATCATTATTAATCTATCACAATTTATTTTCGGTTACCATTTAACTTTATTCATCTTTGATTAAAATTTCAAGAGTATTTCCTCGATTTTGGGTGTATACTTGATTTATTCATGATTTCACGTTTTCTATGATTCATCTTTCATGTGTGCTAATGTTCAGTAAATGTGGTTTTTAGATATTTAAATCATCAGTACAGTATATTATGTTGATGATTCTTTGTATAAACAATTACTGTATTACAGTATTTTATATTTTTATTAACGAATATTGGGTTTGAATTGCTTAGTATAAATATATTGTTTTAATAAAATATATGTTTTTAATTTGTAGTTTATTTTCAAACAAATCTTTTTTTTGTTTTTAAATATATATATACATCTTTAAACAATATAAAAAAATTGCTGCTAAAAAGCTTTAATTACAAAATTATTTAATAACAATTATATATACTGTATATCAGTACAATAGAAATAAGTAAATTGTTTATAATAAAACTCTAAACAAAATAATTTAACAAAAACTTAAATCAAATTTGATAAAAAATTTTTTTAATTAGTTTTATGTTTATAAAATTAATTTAAAATTTCTTTATCAAGTTTTTGTTAAGATATTTACATTCAAAGTTTTAAAAAAATTTTATTATAAAAAATTTGCTTGATTTCTATTGACTCAACTCCATATATATATTTTTTTTAAAAATAATTTGAAAAACTTGATATATAAATTACTGTAGTTCAAAATTTTAATTTGCTTGTTTTAAATATAAATACAATGGTTTAAATTTTATTAAAACATATTAACATTTTTTAAATCAAGCAAGTTTTTTGCTAAACAATTTTAAATAAGACGAAGCAAAGTAAATTTCCTGGTTATATCCCAGCCGGGTCAATTTTTTTAATTTGAATTTTTTTATTTATTAATTATATATTAAATACTATATATATATATATATTTAAAACTTTCAAAAAAATTATACCTATATACAATAATTTGTAAAAATTTTTTTAAAAAAAGCCGGGTGGACAGGTCTGTTTAGAAGTTTAATGTATATGGTCTGAGTTTTCTTCTAAAACTAATAATTTTAATTACTTAAATGACATTATCGTTATACGTACGTACGTACGTAGTTTATCGGGTGGCTTTAACCCAGATGAAAATAGAAATTGCTATTTCTGCGACATGTGTACCCGGGGTATTCCCCTAGTTCATGTCATGTACCCGGGTACTCATATACCGTATGAATACCTCTATGTTTTTAATATGGTTTTATTTACTATTACATGCCCGGGTATATAAGTATGATACCCACACACTTATATACCCGGGTATAAATCAAGATTTGGCATCCAAAATTGCTGCAGGGTACAGCCCCACATGTCGCAGAAATACGGTAATTTTGTTGTGTTGGCATTTGATTTGTATATTGATCAATAACTATATATCTCTTTTAAGAAATTTAATACTCGTACCTGGAAGGTATGATACCCGGTATAATGCTTATATTATGGTTAGGGTTAGATCTAAAAACATGTGTGGTTATATGTACGTAAAATTAGACACTAAACAATTTCACTTAAGATACCTACATACGTATGGTTTTCTTTGAGATATTAACGATTTTTGATTTTTTTCTTATACCCACCGGGTACAAATAGAAATTATCATATTTTATAATTATAATTGTATTTTTTAACAATTTTTTAAGGATAGGGTGTACGTAGATCATTTTTCATATGATCTGCATGGTATATCGGATTTTTACATAGTAAATAAAAAAATGCTTCTGATAAATCTTTTTAATATCTTAGTTAATTTTTATTAAATTTAAATAGTATGTAGTTTAAATCAGTTTGTTTATGCTAGTAAAGTTTTGAGATATACATTGCTTTAAAAAAAATAAACTTTATATATGATCAAAGTTTCCAGTATCACTATATGTTTTGCTGGGGTTACACAAGGAATTGCTAATTCTGATTGGTCAAATCATATGATGTTTACATGTAAATCATATGATATCATATAAAATTTGTTACAAAGTTGATCTACAATTTATTTTATATGAAATTAGAAATTTGTATACTCTATCCTTAAATTAAAGCAATATATAGTAACATTAGTATATAGTTATGCAAATTTTTTTTTTTTTCACTTAGGCAAAGTTATGTCAGTGAATCCTGTTTATTAAAGCTCTTCTTGTAAAAGCTATAAGCAATAAAACTATAACTCTGATATTCTGCAGTTATTTTGTATAACCTAACTGATTATCTACACATATTTACAGGTGATCTGCCACATCACAGAGGTATGATTAATTAAGATAATACCCTAGATGAAGGCTCGTCCAACCACCGTCCTATAATAGGATATTGCCAATCTGATGACATCTTCTCATAGAGAAGTGAAAGAAAAAGAAAAAACATTTTATAAAAAATACAGAGGTATAAGGGAATACGATAAAAGATACAAACAAGAAAATAAAGGGATACAGTCAGACCTCCCTAAATGCAACCTCCATAAATGCATATATATGAAAAACCTCCCTAAATGCATATCTTTTCTTGGGCCCAACTAATATAACCCTTATAGATTTTTACCTTCCTAAATGCATAACCTCTTTAAATGTATATTTTCTCAATTTTTTACTATGGTCCCGACACTATGCATTTAGAGAGGTCTAACTGTAGAAGAAAAAAATGAAAAAAAAAAGAAAAGTATGGGATATACCCACAACAGACAGTTACAATTATAAGCCTGTGTTGAGCTTTGTAAAAATTACATACTACTATCTAAACTAGTCTCTACTTTAATTTAACTAATTAGTATATTTAAGTGAAAACCTAAAAGAAAAAAAAGCTCTTCAATGTCAGCACTGTATTCTAGCACTATAAGCTCTCCAGCTTCTTTTGTTTAAACTCCTATAGAAGCATAAACAAAAGCACGCTTCGAGTATCATAGAGAAGTCAGAAATTCACACAGTTAGTCTTAAAGCATTGTTTGTTCAGGTTGTCACTTCCGGACACGTAATCCAGATGTCCACGTTCTATTTGAATCCATATGTTTGTTGTAATAGGTAAAAAGTAAACAATGCCGACCGATTTGGTAAGTAAACAATATGTCAATCTTTTGGAGGGGATAAGCTAAATCGTCCACTTTTTTACAAAATTTTTCCTGAAAAAAAAGTGGAGGGTCAACGAGAATATGTGAGGTTCTTCTTGTAGGTTTTATAGTTGTATAGTCCAGTTTTTCAAGTATCTACTTGATATTCTTGCCCAGAGACTTTGCTCTACTTGCTCCTAGAATAAACCTTCTAGTTTGGATACCAAATGTGCGAGAGAGTCCGTTGAAGAAAGAAAAACTTGACCCAAGGCACAAACCCGCCTAATATTCTTATACGCCTGCTTCTCGGTATTTCACATATTGTAGGCTTTGTCAACAACAAGTTTGCTTAACACAAAACCAAGAATATTACTATGTCTACATGTTGCTTTCCTATATCGCTAACTGTAGTTTGGTAAATTGTTGTTGACCAAGTGATCGTCAGAAAAAATTTATTATATAGTTATATATTAATATATATATATATATAATTATTTATAAAAATAATATAATATTAATGGATATATAGTCAAACCTCTCTATAGTCACCCTCTATATAAGCATATCATATAAAAATTCTCTTTATAACACATTCATTTTAAAACTAACTATTATAAATATATAGAAAAAAAACCTCTTTATAAGTATATTTTAGTAAAATTCTCTTTACAATTACATAAATCTTTATCCCAAAAGGTGTGATTATAGGAAGGTTAGACTGTATATTAATAATTGACAAAGTTATAATCTTGAAATTGAATCCAAAAATCATAAATAAAGTTAGTCTTTATTATTCAGATCAGATCCTATAAGGTTCAAGTTCCAAAGTTAGGATTAATTTGATCCTCTGTGATACGTTTGAATAAGATATTTTTGGCACGGTTTATATCTCTATCTATTTTTAAACTACAAGAATCACATCTAAAAATCTTGGATCCACCAAGTTTTTTATTGATCGATTTGCAATTACCATATGTTTTAGATGTATATTCTTTGATATATTCAATAACTTTACAACTCACAAATTCCCTAGCTTTGTGGTGTAAAAACATTCTAAATCTATAATGTGATTATATTAGCATCATTCTCATGGTCTTTGACCTGATCTTTCTTTTGTTTTTAAGAACTATATTCAAGATTTCAAATATTGATATTAATATGATCTCGTAATTCTCACATAATTAATGATAACATTCGTTGATCAAGTTCCTAATTCTAACAATAATCCTATACATCTTTATCTTCAATTTGTATTTTTTATGTTTATTTTTTTGTCTAATTGTCAGATCCTTGTCTTTTTGTAATTTATCATATTTCTTTGATAACTAATTTCTTGTTGAGATCACTGTTACTTCACTCTACAACTCGATCATTAGACTCATAATCAGTCATAAAGGTATATACACCTGGATCAAGCAATATTACTTTTCCTTTGACACTATCTTGATTATCACTAACATCTAAAGGAATAAATATACACATGTAAAAATATTCTAATCTGTTTATAATTATGTTTACAGTATGATTTATTTCTGATGATCTTTTTGACACAGTCAAGGTCTTAAAAAATGCATATTCTTCTCTATTCCTGTTCCAATCTCTTGCCAGTATTGAGATAGTTTGCGAATAATCTTTTTTTGTTTTATATTTCATTCTAAAATTATTATCATATAATTTTTTGCTCATTTTAAATGCACTTATCAACTGCCTAATTATATATAACCTTACTTCTCTTGGTGTTTCCTTTACCCATAACAATTCTTCATTTGCAAAACATTTATCATTCAAGTAATGCTTCCTTATAATATTCATATTACTTATCTTATTATCTTGTAACATTTCAAGAACTTTGTTATAGATCTACTTCACAGTTCTCATTCATTTTTTTAATTTTT